CTCGTTACACTACCCTGCCTTGGAAGTGGCATTTCAAGAAAGTCACCGTTCGATCACAGACCTCTTGCCACTTCACCATACCCTGCTCTGGCACTTGGACGAAGCCATCGGCGTTGGCGATCTCCAGACCGATCTCATGGAAAGCACGTTTCAAGCCATCCATAAAGAGAGGAACCTTGGTGTTGAGGTTGTTTCGTGCAAAGGTTCTCTCGTTGAAGTCCGTGGAACGTGGCTCGCAAGCAGGAGGTGCGGTGCTCTCCACGGGATCTACATCTCTGAACTCAGCGAGCTCGGGCAGCTTGAAGGCAGATTTGCGAATGTTTCCTAAGGCTTGCATCGCTGCCGGGCTCAAGTGGACCTGCATCTCCATCCCTACTCGCTGCGCCTGGGTGAGCTGCAGCTCGCCTAGCACACAACCCGCAGGCTCAAGAAGCATAGGAGTTGCCGATGCAGAGGTCCAGAAGATGTGGGAATCGGCAGCAGTGGGGAGCAACTCACAGGCATGGATGACCTTGGTGCTGTCGGCAGGCAGGGCCGACGTGCAAGGTTTCCCAGCTCGAACGGTTGTGCCCGTTTTGGTTTTGGCGAGGCTGCCACGAAAGGCTGCCACAACAACACATGGGACCGCCTTCTTGTCTCGGATGCCGAACCCTGCCTTCACGGCGTCGCCTTTGACCAAGACCACTTGAAAGCTTCGGTCATGCATGTCCAGCGGCGGCCTGAAGCAGGACACTGGCACGAGGCCCTTATCACCTGCAGCAGCCTTGGCATTCTTGCCCTCCACCAGGTTGCACAGCTTTTCCGTGGCGTTGGACCACATGGTGGCCCGAGACTGGCGACTCTTGTCGGTGGAGTGCACGAGCCTTGCAAGGGAAAGCTCGTGCTCATTCCGGCTCCAGGCGTTCATGTCTGCCCGCTCCTTTTCGAGCCAAGCCAGGGGCAACACACCTTCGCACATTCGGACGTGTCGGACGAAGTGTCTCATAGGCCCGATCAGGTTCTGAATGCGTGTCAAGGCCGCCGCTTGACCGGCACCGGCGGCCTCCCTGAGGTCGAAGGCCTCGCTCCCTTTGCTGATGGCGGCGTCGAGGATTGCATCCACGGTTAGCAGAGGCTTGTCGGGGTCGGCTTCCTTGTCGGCTGGTATCGGTTTTGCCTCCATGAGCTGCTCCGTTTGATCCGCAGTGGCTTCGTAGTCGCCCGTCTCCTCGTCCGGAAGCAAGTCTGCAGCATCCGCCTGGCGATACTCCTCCAAGGTCTCTCGCATCCTGGCTTGATCCGCCACTCGCTGCACCAATGCAGCTGGCGTGGCCTCCTCGGGCCCTGATGGCCCTGTCACAGTGCCATCCTTGCCCGACATGAGCTGCTTGATCTCCGCGAGTGTAAGCTCGGCGCAATCGGGACCCAAGTCGTCCGCAGTGGAATCCCGGTCCAACTGTGTCAGGAGTGCCTGTCCGACAGATGGCCACCATCGGCGCAAATGCTGGTAGAGGTCGTCGGGAGTCGTGTCCGCACAGATGCAGGCTTGGAACTGAAGCGAGGATGCGAGAGCCTTCTTGCTCGCTACCACGACCTCTTCGACAGTCAATGCATCTCGCTTGGCCTCGGTCTTGGTTTTGCCAAGCTCACAGGACCGAATCAGTCGCTCCTGCTTCGCGGTCTCGACAGCCATCGCCATCACTCCGTCTTTGATCGACGGCGATCCTTGACAGTGTGCCTTCAGGCGGGCAAAGTGGAATTCGATCGGCAATTCTTGCAGCAGTCTTGCTTCATAGGACGTGCAGCAGCATGCCACGGCGTGGCCTGCCAACGAGCAGAGATTCCTGCATGTTGTCAAAGACATTGTCAAGCTTGTGCTCGCATCGCCTTACTTCCCAGTGAAGAGGTTGGAACTGAGACTACCCTGCAAGAATCAACCCTCAACCTCATCCGAGTGACCGAATCTGCCCCTGTTGTTCATGACATGAAGGGCGGTCAGATATAATGCAAAGCGAAACTGTTCTCGCAAATGATGGCTTTGTCGAAGGCAACCGAGGCCGTGGACACGGCAGCGATCAAGGCACCCAGCATCTGATGTATATGAGCACCTGCACATTCCCACGATCGTGGGGTGAACGCCGGTGACAAGCGGCAGATGCTTTGCCGATCCGACTGAGGGTCGGAGCAGCTGTGTGTTCTTGCTCCCACACCGCTCCGCATCTGACCGGTCAAGCATGTCCATACTGCACCGTGCACCAGGATGCGGGCACCAGAGGAGGCTTGGAGAGAGAATCTTTTCTGGAGGTGCCATCCGTCTAGGAACGAGCTCATGGGCCAGGTGGCGTCCTTGCCTTCCGGTTCTCCTTGGGTAGTCTCTGCAGCTCGCACCACTCGAAAAATGGAAGGCGGAGCATCTCTTGCTCAGGGACTAAGCCCAAAAAGATCTTGTTCACGGACGTGTTGTTTGTCGCCCCATCAAAGCTGTGATCCCTACTGGAGGGATCTGGTTGTTGGAGCTGGCACATGCTGCCAAGAACCTTGCGGCCACCTGCAGCATCTCCTCGGTGCTGGAGCAGCCTTGCTTCCTTGGCAAGACCAAGCTGTCCACGACGAAACGGTTGTGATCGGGTCGCTTGAGAGCAAGGTGCAAGGTCATCTTCGCGAGGCGGTCTCTTGGAAGGTCGGATGCTTTCCAATCGGATGTCATGAGGTAGCTGTAGTCATTTGCCGCATCACTCGCCCAGGATCCTCCGATCCAGGCGCAGCCGGGCGGATCGCTCCGGAAGGTCCCCACTTGTTCGTAGGCCGGAGACCATACGGTTTCGTCCAAGAGGACGCAGGCTCGGCCGCCCACCAGCCGCAGCCCGGCTAGGGCCCGCCGGACAGAGGTCGCCATTTCCTGTTCGTTGCGGATTGCAACGTAAGGGTTGGGGAAGCTTGAGCTTTCCAGGCTGCTCTTGTCCACAGCCCTCAAGTTGAAGCCGAAGCGCTCCAGGACGCCTTTCATGGCCTCCTCGCGACCCAGGGTGGCAAGAGCCTCTTGAACAGCATGCAGGTCACTATGCTTGCTGGTAGTCCGATACCTTGGGTCGCTTGCCTGGGTCTGGCACCTCATGAGAAAGGCAGTCACCAAGGCGTGGATGAAGCCGTCCGTGCGCAACTGGCCGCTGGCGATTTTGGAGGCGAGTTGGAGGTCTAGTTGACGTACTTCGCCCTTCGCCAGGGAATCAGCAAGGGGCATCGCGAGCAGGCCCGAAGTCTTGGCCTCAACATCTGTGGAGTAGTGCAAGTGCTGGGAGAGCAGGAAATCATCCAGGAACCGCTGCAGCCCTTCCGATCGCCACCATTTTGGTCGCCACCATTTTGGTATGCACTCCGCCCTCCGGCAGACTTCTCGCACCTTCTCCGACTCGCCCTCAGATCCCTCAGCCAGCAGCTGCTCCATGTCGTGACCTGCCAGGTCCTCTGTGCGGTAGTCGGCCTGCCGCATCTGCGAGGCCAACTGGTGGATTTCCCTTGCTTCCGTATGAAACAACCGCCAACAGCACTGGACACTGTCCACAAAGAATGCTTTCTTAGCAATGTGCTGTCGAAAGGAGGGCCGCATAGCCAGTCTGAAGCATGCCTTGCAGGCGGCTCCCTCCCGGCGGTGACCTGAGCAGTCGCTGGCCTGGACAAGGATGACATGACCCTGAAGGTTCATCTTGGCACCAGCCAGCGGATCCCTTTCAGAGGCCTTGAACAATGTCCGAGGCTGACCGTACTGGACGTACTTATACGGAAGCTGGCCTGCAAAGGAGCCAGGGGCTCTTCGTGGATGGCAATGCCAGAGCAGAGGTTGGCGGTCTTTGCTGGCTCCTCCGACGGCACCAAAGCATCCGAGCCCGGTGCATCCATTGGCGCGCTAGCAACTGCACCCGGCTGCTCTCCTTTGAGTCGTGCAAGCCCTCTCTGGTGCCGATCGCTCCGCTCGTGGCCGTTCTGACCTGTGAGCCTGGCAAGACATGCCTGCGACCAGATGTTGACGTTCTTATTGCAGGCCTTGCAAAAGTATGCGCACTTACTGCCGTAAGATCCGTCCGTGACCATATAGATCTCCTGCCTGTGCTTGCGGATGAACTCATGCACGGCTTATCGGGAAGGCACGGCTCGCTGTGTTGCAACTTGCCGGGCTGGCACATCTTCAACATCCTGCAAGACATCCTGCAAAGGAGGTGCAGCCTCAGGAGCTTCTGAGGCTGGAGCAGCTAGAGGCTTCAGTGCGAGTTTGCGAAGCTCGCTGCAAGCTTCGCAGGAGAGCTCTCTGTCAGGATCGCCAACCGCTTTCAGGAAGGCAGCATAGTGACCCGCATTGTCCTTGCACTCCAGCTGCCTGTGGGAACACGGCATGATCCAGGTCCGCCCTTTCCAGCTGTTCCCTGCCCGCCTTGAGTAGCTGGGCATCTCGCTTGCATGCCTTCTTTGACGAGGCTTTTCCAGCTGACTGTCCAGGAGTCGGCGTCTGGCGCCGCCTTGCCAGCCTGCGGGGTGTGCATGATATCACTTGCTGCCGGGGACTGCGCCTTGGGCTGCCTGTTGCGGCCGCGATCAGGGGTCCGCGGATCAGCAGGGGGTGCATTGGCAGGTGCACTCGGTGCAGGTGCTGGCACGACACATGTTGCAGGATTGCCTAGAGCTGTATTGCAAAGCTGCAGTAGCAAGTCCACACAGTTTGATGCGAAGGCACGGTCCGGGATGTGGTCCGGCAACTGGCCTTGTGGCCTAAGCACCATTTCCAGGCAGTAGTCGAAGCAGAGAGCGGCACGGTGGCCGCAGGACCACGGCTCTGCCTGTGTGCCCGTGTTTGCACAGACAAGGGCCAGCTCCTTGGACAGCCATTGGAGCTCCCGCAGCTCAGCCAAGTGGGCCCAGGCATGATCCTTGCAAATCCGATGCTGCATGCCGGCTCCTCCATCGTAGAAGTGAGCTGCCTGATCCCGGTGCACCACAAGCAAGCCCCAGTGGGACTGGCTGTACACAGGCTGACACAAGATATCCGCCCCAGCTTGGATGGCCAGGGTGTCCTTGCAGCCCGACATCCGGACAACGACCCTGGAGGGCCAGGCATCCCGGAGATGCAAACGTGATACCTGACAGCAGGCATGCAAGACCTGCTTGTAATCCAAGCGCCGCAGGCTCTGGCAAGATCATGGCCTGCAGGTCTGAACCCTGGAGCTGCGGTGCTTCCAAAGTCTGGGGCTGCTGTGGTCTGCCTGACCTGGGCTGCGAACGTTTGACCTCCTCCGGCGACTCGTCCCTGGAGCAGCGGCGCTTCTGTCTAGGTGTGCTGGGAGGGGAATGAGCGGACAGCTCCAGCTCCTGCTTCACACGCTTGTGTGGAGCCACCTCGCTGGACTGCATCTGCATCGCACGTTTCGCTGGAGCTGGCTCCTGCTTCACCTTTTGGTGCGCAGGCTCCCCCTTGACGACAGTGAACTCTGCAGGCTCCCGCTTCACGGCAGTATCGGCAGTGAACTCCGCTTCAGGAAAGCTTTGCAAAGTCGCAGTGAGCTCGCACCATACTGCAGCATAGGGGTCTGGCATGCCTGTTCTGGGCAGCGATGGCTGAGCCAGGTCTGTGACACCGCTGAGCTTGAGCCAGACCGCATACTCGTCCGATTCGTCCGTGTCGAGACTCCGCAGCCTTCCAAGGGGGTCGTCCGGCACCAGTCGTCGCCGAGCATCTGCAGACAGATCCACCCAGCCCTCCAGCCACAACTCGGACTGCAAGCCCTGGAATCGCAGGAGAGTCGCCAGCTCGGTGCAGCTGGTCATGATGCACCAATCCCGGTAAGATACATCCACCCTTTGCAGGAAACACATCCACATCGCTGCATTCGACGAGGTTCGCTTCCTGGGTCTCACATGTTTCGTGCGGTTGTGAAGATAACGCGTGTCGTGCATGTCAGGACACGGTGCCATAAGCCAACACCAACATGCATGTCGAGTCACATGGATCTGCGGACCGCAGTGCTGCCCAGCGCATCTAGGCCAAGCCGAACGTTGTCCCGCAGCACCTCCCAAGGCTGTCGCAAGCCCAGCTTGCTCCACATCTCCCGGCCAGCTCGCTGGGGTTCCTCCCAGGCAAAAGACAGCACCAGGGGCAGTGAGTATAAAATGGGTGGGGGGACTCTTTGTCTCTCCTACAAAACACACAGGATCCCGAGAGTACCTCCCCCTGAAATATCCCCGCTCGGCTTTGTGGAAAGGATCCCAGTGCCAGCAAAAGGCCCGTGGGGAGTATAAAGAGGGTGGGGGGGACTCTTTGCTTCTCCTACAAAACACAGAGGATCCCGAGAGTACCCCCCTATGAAACATCCTGGTAATCACTTCCTGCCTCGGTCATGTCGTGGATGCCCTCTTGAGCCTGGCCAGCAAAAGGCCACTGGGAGTATAAAAAGGGTGGGGGGACTCTCTGCTTCTCCTAGAAAACACACAGGATCCCGAGAGTACCCCCCTATGAAACTTCCTGGAAACCACTCTGAGAACACTGTCACCGCGCCATTGGGGCCCTCTCACAGTGCCCAGTCCAAAGGCAAGACCTGGATTCCTGCCTCGGTCTTGTCGGGGAAGCCTTGCTGGGCCTGCCAGGCAAGAGGCCCGTGAGGAGTATAAAAAGGGTGGGGGGGACTCTTTGTTTCTCCTACAAAACACACAGGATCCCGAGAGTACCCCCCTATGAAACTTCCTGGAAATCACTCTGAGAACACTGTCACAGCGCCATTGGGGCCCTCTCACAGTGCCCAGTCCAAAGGCAAGACCTGGATTCCTGCCTCGGTCTTGTCGGGGAAGCCTTGCTAGGCCTGCCAGGCAAAAGGCCCGTGAGGAGTTTAAAAAGGGTGGGGGGACTCTTTGTTTCTCCTACAAAACACACAGGATCCGGAGAGCACCGCTCGGTGCCTTTGTGGAAAGGATCCCAGTGCCAGCAAAAGGCCCGTGGGGAGTATAAAGAGGGTGGGGGGACTCTTTGCTTCTCCTACAAAACACAGAGGATCCCGAGAGTACCCCCCTATGAAACATCCTGGTAATCACTTCCTGCCTCGGTCATGTCGCGGATGCCCTCTTGAGCCTGGCCAGCAAAAGGCCACTGGGAGTATAAAAAGGGTGGGGGGACTCTCTGCTTCTCCTACAAAACACACAGGATCCCGAGAGTACCCCCCTATGAAACTTCCTGGAAATCACTCTGAGAACACTGTCACAGCGCCATTAGGGCCCTCTCACAGTGCCCAGTCCAAAGGCAAGACCTGGATTCCTGCCTCGGTCTTGTCGGGGAAGCCTTGCTGGGCCTGCCAGGCAAAAGGCCCGTGAGGAGTATGAAAAGGGTGGGGGGACTCTTTGTTTCTCCTACAAAACACACAGGATCCCGAGAGTACCTCCCCCCAACATATCCCTGCTCGGTGCCTTTGTGGAAAGGATCCCAGTGCCAGCAAAAGGCCCGTGGGGAATATAAAAAGGGTGGGGGGACTCTTTGCTTCTCCTACAAAACACAGAGGATCCCGAGAGTACCCCCCTATGAAACATCCTGGTCATCACTTCCTGCCTGGGTCTTGTCGGGGAAAATAGCTGGGCCTGCCAGTGCACCTGTTACAGTGATGGGGGCCCGTGCCCAGCACGCCAAGCCGTCGACACGGCATCGCCGAGAATGGGCACGTCGGGCTCTAAGAGCTGCTGAAAAGCCTTCGGAGAACACAGAAGAAACTCCGAAACGGCCAACCCAGACGTGATGGCCTCCCCAGCAGCGGCATTCCGCACCTGGCCACAGGAATTCAAAGCGATGCATCCAAGATATGTGTCATGGGCTCAGCAGCTTCACACTGACCCTGTCTCTGGCTCTTTCTTTCTTTCCCACTGCTCTGGAACCTGAACAGCACGTCCCCCCTGCTGCAATCATGCTCCAGACTGTTCTTCCCCTTGAGGCACTGCACGCTTCTGATGCTTCAGCAATGGAGCTGTCATCGGTGTCTCATGTGTCTCACTGGCTTCGCTGCCCTGGCGATGAAGCTTCCCAGACCTTGTGGATGGAGGTGTCTCAGGAGTGGGCGAAGGCGACAACGCGTTTTGCAGGCTCGACCAGTAGGGAGTGTGCACAGGCTTCGTCTCTGAAGGCGTCCGTGGCTGCTGAGGCTTCGCACGCTTTTGCAAGGGGGCGTCTGTAGATGTTCTTCCCCTTGAGGCACTGCACGCTTCTGATGCTTCAGCAACGGAAGCGTCATCGGTGTCTCATGTGTCTCGCTGGCTTCGCTGCCCTGGCGATGAAGCTTCCCAGACCTCGTGGACGGAGGTGTCTCAGGAGTGGGCGAGGGCGTCAACACGTTATACAGGCTCGACCAGTAGGGAGGTCCATCCTGGAGAGGAGTGGGCATGGTTGGGCGCTGCTTGGCAAAGGAAGGCCGGCGAGGAGGCGAAGGTGTGGCGAAACTGGACCAGTAGGGCGGCCCGTCCTCGATACGAGTGTGCACAGGCTTCGTCTCTGCATCCTCTGCCATCACTGCCTCAGGCGACAAAGACCTCTGCAAGGTACGTGTCGGAGTCGCCATCGTCGCTGGAGCACCCTTTGCCGGTGACTCGGCCAATGTCGTCACTGAGATGATGGAGATGGGTGAGGCACTTCCGCAAATCCCGGAAGCATCCGCAGTCGCTGGAGCACCCTTTGCCGGTGACTCGGCCAATGTCGTCACTGAGATGATGGAGACGGGTGAGGCACTTCCGCAAATCCCGGAAGCATCCGCAGCCTCCATTGCGGATACGATCGGAAGACAGCTGCTGACTAAGCCTGGAATAACACTGACAGCAGAAGCACCTCTCCTGTCTTCGGCAGTCTCACTGCAGGCATCAACAGCGAAGTAGGTCATGAAGGTCCAAGCACGATAGAAGCCGCGACACCCCGGGCCTCATCATCCGGAGCCGTCCGATCCGATCCTCGCCGATCTGGCCGATCATCGATGTCCTCACCGAAAGCGGGGCACAAGCCTGCAGACACACTGCCAGCTACCCACGGCCTCGGCGCTATCAAGACTCCTCGGAAGGGCCTGGCAAGAGCGTCAGCAGACCAAGCAGAGACAGACTGTGTGTCGCCAGCATGCACCCGCAGGATCACTCAAGAACCTGCCTGATCATCCTGAGCCGATCCTCCCCGATCTGGCCGATCCTCGATGTCCTCACCGAAAGCGAGGCACAAGCCTGCTAACACACTGCTAGCTACCCACGGCCTCGGCGCCATCAAGACTCCTCTGAGGGGCCTGGCAGGAGAGTCAGTAGACCGAGAGACAGAATGTTTGTCAGGCACTTGCAGGATCACGCCTCCTTATTTTTGTCCTCAAGAACCTCACCCCTCGTTTGCCGAGGATCTGCTCTCTCCTCCCCACTCTAGGCTGACTACACATATTACACTGATACCCGGCCTATGCCCAGGTTAGCCACTGACTGGAGCAGACCCCGGACGAGCTGTTCCAACAACTACTGAGAGCTACTGCCTGGACCATGGCATTCCAGGGCTCACTACTCCAAAAGTCTCTGGCCCCCTTGCGAGCTGCTGTGTGTTGCTGTGTGGTGCTGTGTGTTGCTGTGTGTTGCTGTGTGTGTTGCTGTGTGATGCTGTGTGTTGCTGTGTGTGGCTGCTGTTGCTCAAGGAGGCCGACACGACCACTACAGGCCAAGTGCCGCCACCGCCGGCTCACACCCAGGAGAGGTGCTGTTGAAGCTGCCAGTGGCTGCTAGAACTGCTCACGCCTTGTATGTTGCAGGTGTTCTTGATGTGGCTGTGTTGGTGGTGTTGCTGTGTTGTTGCTGTTGCTGCTGCACTAGTGCCACTGGCAGAGTCTCGCAGCTACGGAAGCTAGCCTGTGCGCAGGCCGTCCAACCATTGAACCCTCCAAGCCCTCTAACTACCAGCCTATACCATCGAACCCTCCAAGCCCTCTAACCCCACAACCCTACCAGCCTATACCAGGCTACAGCCCACCTGCACACAGGATGACCCAACTAAGAGCTCAGTCGAGCTCCCACCAGCTCTCTCACTTCTTAGTCTTCGCCTTCTTCCCAGCCTGAGATTGGAACGAGAAAGGAAATGGAAGCAAGCAGATGATCCCACCCTTCGGAGGCTAATGCAGGCTGGGGCACGACCCGCTCGGGCACCACATCCTTCTCGGAACGAGAAAGGAAGCAGATCCTGCCGTTTCGAGGTTAATGCAGGCTTGGGCACGTCAGGTGCGAGCATCGGATCGAAAGGGGATCTCTTTGCCGAGGCATCCTTGGGTTAGATGCCATGGGCGATGCAGCATGTCAACGCCTGTCGAGTCCTACTGGGGCTAACGCGGGCTTCGGCTCGTTGATGCCTGATGCCGCCGGCCCCGTTGGCATCGCCGGACGGACCTCTGTCGGCGGCCTCCACGGCACTCCCGTGGCACGGCGCTCAGATGGCTCAGCCTTGGATCAGACGTCACGGGGGATGCAACAGCCTATATAACCCATGTAAGTGGCACGCGGCATGCACCTCAAAATAATGCAACAGGGGCACCGCCCCCGTCTCCGCCTCCTGCTTCATCTCGGGCGGCTTGTTCAGCATGGCCTGGAGTGAAGTCGGATGCACCCATGAAACACCAACCTAGACTGCAGGATAATGCAAGCCAGATGCTTCGAGCTCATCGGCCCTCTTCGCCCGTCTTCGGAGGAAGTGAGCCTCGTGGCCATCCGGAGAATCGAATGGACTGCTGTGTGTACTCATCCTTTCCCCAGGCCTTGTGCGACATCGTCGCATCCAGGGCGGCCTGCAGACC